TGCTGCGGCTGCCTCTGCCGCCTCGTCCAGCGCACCAGCCAGGAGACCGGCAGCCGCTTCGTCATCAGCGGCGTCAGGCGCACGTTCGGGTGCGGCGGCAGTGTCCGGTGGCAAGGCTGCCGCTTCCGCCACCGAGCCCGTCAAGTATCGCTTCCACCCGGACGACGCCGAATCTCGGGCCGCCGAGCTCATCCCCAACGGCATCGCCACCCAACTGGCCAGCAGCAACTGGAAGGAGCGTCTTGCGGGCATGTCCGAGTTCAACGACTGGCTCAAGGTCGAGGCCGAGTCCGTCGAAGCAGAGATCATCGTACGTGCGCTCGGCAAGAAACCTGGATGGAAAGAAAGCAACTTCCAGGTTATGGCCGAGGTGTACAAGGCGCTCCAGCTGCTCGCCAACGACTGCTCCACTTTCGGTCGTCCGTCGATCGCGCTCTCCGTGCAGCCACTGTGCGACAAACTTGGCGACATCAAGCTCAAGACGCCTGCTGGCGAGACGCTCGTCCTCTTTGCTGAAAAGACATCGTTTGGCTTCCTTCTCGCCCAGGCACTCGGTCCGCTCGCTTCACTCAAGGCTCCCAAGGCCATCGCCGACTCCATCCTTTGGGTCGACCAGACGCTGCTCGAGTTCGGCACCGCCGGCGTAGACGTACGATCGCTCATCGACTACCTCGTCAACTGCCTCAAGTCCGCCAACGCTGCAGTCCGCACCAACGCCACCAAGGCTATCGGCACGCTCGCGCGCTTCCTCGGCACGACGCTCAATGCCTTCGTCGCCGACCTCAACCCGCAGCTCAGGACGACCATTGAGGGCGAAATCGAGAAGGCCGCCTCCAACCCGCCACCTGCACCCGTGCGCTTCGGCGACGAGACCAAGGCACCTTCGAGCAAGGCGGCTGCCGGATCAGCAGCTGCAGCAGGCGCCGGCGCTCCCGCCCAGGAGAACGGAGTCGACGAAGACATGCTCGATGAGCTCGTGCCCCGCGTCGACCTCGACCGTCTCGTGCCCGCCACCGCCATCGCACGCATGGGCGACGCCAACTGGAAGGAGCGCAAAGAGGGTCTCGAAGAGGTGCTGGGCGTGGTCAACGCCAACAGTCGCCTCAAGGGCAACATGGCCGAGCTGGCCAACGCGCTCAAGACGCGATGCTCGGACAGCAACATCATGTGCAAGTCCATGGCTCTCGACGCCATCGCCAAGATCGCAACAGGCATGAACAAGCACTTTGAGCCGCAGGCGCGCATCCTCGCACCCGCCATCGCGCAAGTGCTTGCCGATGCCAAAGCACCCGTTCGAGCCGCTGCAACCACTGCACTCACAGCCATTGCCAACCAGGTCGGCGCCGCGCCCTTGCTTCCCGGCTTCGGCACCGTCTTGGACAGCAAGGCTGCCAATCCCATGCTCAAGCAGGAACTATTCGGGTGGCTCGCCGAGTGGTTCGAGGCGCATCCCCCAGAGAAGGGCATGGATCTGGCACCGCTTGCGTTGCCCTGCGTTCAGTGCCTCGACGACAAACTCGCGGCGGTGCGAAAGGCGTCGATCTCGTGTCTGCCTTACATCGTCATGCGCGCCGGCTACAAGCATGTCTTGGAGCAGGCCAATCAGCTCAAGACCGCTTCAAAGAACACTGCCGTCCCGCTCATCGACGCCGCCAAGGCGCAAGCACAGACTCTGGCTCGAAGCGCGGCTGCGCCCGCTGCCCCTGCCGCTGCAGCAGCGCCAGCTGCTCCTGTCTCGGCAGCGACCTCGCGTGTGGCTGCGGCCAGCGCTCGAACAGGTGCAGCCTCGCCCGCCAGGCCCCTTGGAGCGAGCTCAGTAGCTGCTGCATCGGCGTCACCTCGTGCATCGACGATCGCGCGGCCAGGCGGCATCAAGCCGCCGTCCGCTGTTGGCCGATCGCTCAAGGCACCCTCGAGCACCATCGCCCGCCAGTCTCGACTCGCCTCGGATGCAACCGATAGTGGCTCTGCCGCGCGCAACGCATCGGGGTCTGCGGCGGGTGCGTCGGGCTCAGGTGCTGGAAGCGGAAACGCCGTGGATCGCTCTGCACCGCTGATTGCGTCCGATATCAAGGCAAAAGCGCTGCGCGAAAAGCGGGAGGGCAAGGGTGCCAGTTGGATCGGAACGGATGGCGCGCCGCGCCCCGAGCTCGTCGAGGTGCTGCGACAGCAGTGCGAAGGCCAGCTGAGCCGCGGCATCACCGACTCTATGTTCAGCAAGAGTCACTCGGCGGAGAAGGACTTCTACGCTGCCTTGACGCTGCTTTCCGATTTCATCTCCAGCCCAACGTTTGCCGAGGAGCAGTACGGACTTTCGCCCGAAGAGACCATGGAGCGCACGCTGGCCAACTCGGATCTCATCTTCAAGTACGTCTCGATCCGTCTGACGGACAACAACACGAGTCTGTCGCTCAAGTGCCTCGATATCCTCGAGCACCTCATGGCCATGCTCAGCACGCAGCAATACCACATGAGCGACTACGAGGCCGTGTGCATCCTGCCCTGCCTCACCGCCAAGTTCGGCGACGCCAAGGTGGCCTTCCGCGACCGCATCCGCGAGATCTTCCGCAAGATGACCTTCATCTTCCCACCGAGCAAGCTGCTCACGTGCTACCTCGAGAACGGCCTGCCGTCCAAGAATGCACGCGTCCGCGCCGAGTGCCTGGGCGAGGTCGGCTACCTGTTTTCCAAGAACGGGCTGCAGGTGTGCTCGCCATCGCGGACACTGCCGGTGATCGCCAAGCAGATCAGCGACCGCGATGCCAACGTGCGCACTGCGGCGCTCTCGGCGCTCGGCGAGGCGTACAAGATCATCGGAGACGAGGTGTACAAGCTGGTGGGATCCCTTCCGGGCAAGGAAATGTCGATGCTCGAGGAGAGACTCAAGCGAACCACGGCACCCTCGACGGCTGGAGCGGCAGCTGGTGCTCGACCGCCGCC